CCAGCCACTCGTTGAGGCATCACTGACTAACATCCCGCTCCTCAGCTTTTGATGCCTCCTTATCACATTTCCACGTTGGTCAACTCACACAAAGTTTCCCGGCACTGTTTGTGCACTTAAGGCTACCCGTTACCCAACGACACATAGCCGCAACCGTGTCGACAGCACATACCTGTCCGACACAAGTCCTTTCTAGAAAGTCACTTTGTCAGAATTCCCAAGTCCAAGCCATGATCCGCAGCAATCATCCAGACATTTAAAAAAATTGGGTTATTAAAACGTTGGTTTCCCCACTGAAAGTAGGTCAGTTTCATTGATAAGTTTGTTGGACTAGTCTACTTTGGTCGAGGTTGTGGGTGTAGCGGTCTGTTGTTGTGTTGCATTTACGTTTTTATTCCAAGAAAGAGACTGCCTGTAAAAGGTTTCATCACTCTCTAGTGGGGTTTTGTGTTAGACCCAGTTTGAAAATGTTTTTAGAGTGTTAAAAGCGCTGGCGTGCTTAAATATACAAGACGCGATGTCAACGGCACTGGGGAACAGCCCTGTCACCTTTTGTGAAGGTCGGATGGCTCGAGGCCGACCAAACAGAAGTGAGGTATGCTGAAGGTCGACCAGTCAGAAGCGAGCTAGTGTATACCGGTGTGTAGAACGGGGGGACTATCTTTTGTTTTACCCATTACTACACCACAGTCCATTCAATTACTGGACTCGAACAGCACGTCCACACAGTAAGAGGATCTGAAAACATTTAACTGAACTACTACGGGACCTTTCACATCAGTCAGTTATGCGGGGATCCAGCTTCCTCGCCAACACACTCGGGGTTCACAAGCCCCTCGTGATGTCGACCCACACAAGGATCCCACAATATCCATGATGTACACAAGGATCCCACAATATCCATGATGTACACCAGGATCCCACAATATCCATGATGTACACAAGGATCCCACAATTTCCATTATGTACACAAGGATCCCACAATATCCATGATGCACTCAAGGATCCCACAATATCCATGATGCACTCAAGACTAACGTTTTCCCTCGTGGTTCATTCCCCTCTCAACTCGGAAAGTCCCCAGCCACCGGTAAACAGCAAGCAACTTCTGTTTTCCTCAGCTGTAAGTGACCCAAATGTCCACGTTCCCAACTTGTTAAAACACATGCTTACCCTCTGTGTGCTCATCCTCTGGCTTCAATCAATCTTTCAACCCTCACACTCAACCTTTGAGCTGGTGATGATGAGGAAGATGGTGATGGTGATGGTAGTGATGGTGATTAGTGACGACGATGTTGTTTGTTGGAATGATAGTGATATAGATCATAGTGATGGTGATAGTGATTGCGATGATGGGCGTGAATATGATGGTATCAATACCATGATGGGTGTAACTACGTTTTTTGGAAATGGTTGCGATGATGATGATGTTTCTTGTGGTGGCGATGATGATTTGATAGGGGTTGTAATCGTGATGATGTTTTTACTGTTAATCAACAGTAATTACAACTGGTAATGGAAACTGAATGGATCACAAACCGCATTGTAAGTGTTCACCTGCTATTATTTCACCACTCTGTCATCATCATCAACTCAAACTAAGTATTCTCCATAGAAAATGTAAACAGAATGAATAAAATTCAATCTCCAATGAACAACAGATTAATACAAATATATTATCCCATTACGATAATTTTAATATTTTTAAAAGACAAAAGCATTGGTAAATTCTAAAATATTTTCTAATTAAAAAACTGGAATGCATATACATTTTTAAGCGTTAGAAATTAAACAATATACATTGTGCATCTCATGGCTTATTGACAGTAATGAAATTAAACAAGTGTTACTGAAACGAAACAATTCGATATTGCAAAATACACTGCATAGATAGCACACATAAAATGCTTTGTACGTAAAGCTCCCTTACACACATACACAATAAGAAAGTCATTCTTGTTAAAGTCATCGTTTCTCACTGTGTCACATCTACTACACTACATACACACGAACACGCGAGCTTGCGTGTGTGTGTTCGTGAGTGTGGGTGTTAATACGTTTAAAAACAAATTCAAGCAGCAGCTGCTGTGGAAACATGTTGTGAAGTCCCAAGGGGAAGGTGGGGACAAAGGAAACATGTTGTGAAGTCCCAAGGGGAAGGTGTTGACAAAGGAAACATGTTGTGAAGTCCGAAGGGGAAGGTGGGGACAAAGGAAACATGTTGTGAAGTCCCAAGGGGAAGGTGGGGACAAAGGAAACATGTTGTGAAGTCCCAAGTGGAAGGTGGTGACAAAGGAAACATGTTGTGAAGTCCCAAGTGGAAAGGTGGGGACAAAGGAAACATGTTGTGAAGTCCCAAGGGGAAGGTGGGGGAAAAGAAAGCATGTTGTGAAGTCCCAAGGGAAAGACGGGGACAAATGAAACATGTTGTGAAGTCCCAAGGGGAAGGCGGGGATAAAGGAAACATGTTATGAAGTCACAAGGGGAAGGCGGGGACAAAGGAATCATGTTGTTAAGTCACAAGGGGAAGGCGGGGACAAAGGAAACATGTTGTGAAGTCCCAAGTGGAAGGTGGGGACAGAGGAAACATGTTGTGAAGTCCCAAGGGGAAGGCGGGGACAAATGAAACATGTTGTGAAGTCCCAAGGGGAAGGCGGGGACAAAGGAAACATGTTCTGAAGTCTCAAGGGGAAGGTGGGGGAAAAGAAAGCATGTTGTGAAGTCCCAAGGCAAAGGCGGGGACAAAGGAAGCATGTTGTGAAGTCCCAAGGGGAAGGCGGGGACAAGGGAAACATGTTCTGAAGTCCCAAGGGGAAGGTGGGGGAAAAGAAAGCATGTTGTGAAGTCCCAAGGCAAAGGCGGGGACAAAGGAAGCATGTTGTGAAGTCCCAAGGGGAAGGCAGGGACAAAGGAAACATGTTCTGAAGTCCTAAGGGGAAGGCAGGGACAAAGGACACCTTGGTGGACAGGAAACAAAATTAAAAATAGGATGGAAGCAATAACTAACGACCAGAAACAAAGCTGAAGAAATAGAGAAACATAAACAATATGTGGCACTCAAAACAGAGGTCAAAAAAAATTAGTGCTTAACGCAAAACATAAATCATGGGAAGAATTTCGAGAAAATTTGAAGAAAAAAAAAAGAATGCAAGAGAAAATCAAAAGCTGTTCTACAGGACCCTCAAGAACATTTGGAAGGAGAAAGAGTGCCTGGTAAAATTCCCTGAAGACAAGAAAGGGGCTCTGCTTATTACTTCAAATGATATCATGGACATACAGAAATAATACTCCTCACAGCTCCGTGGTGTTGTGGGAAGTCATATGACTCGGAAATAACAGACCTCACTTCTAAGAAGAAAATCATCCATGGGGATGATAACATCAGGATGAAAGAATTAAAGGCAGATATAAGAAGATTAACAGTTGGTCTGTGAGGACAGCGTGAGTCCCGTCTTGTTGGTCTCAGGGGACAGTGTGAGTCCCGTCTTGTTGGTCTCAGGGGACAGTGTGAGTCCCGTCTTGTTGGTCTCAGGGGACAGTGTGAGTCCCATCTTGTTGGTCTCTGATGACAGCATGAGTCCTCTGTTGTTGGTCTCTGAGGACAGTGTGAGTCCCGTCTTGTTAGTCTCTGAGGACAGTGTGAGTCCTCTGTTGTTGGTCTGTGAGGAAAGTGTGAGTCCTCTGTTGTTGGTCTCTGAGGACAGTGTGAGTCCTGTCTTGTTGGTCTCTGAGGATAGTGTGAGTCCTGTCTTGTTGGTCTCTGAGGACAGTGTGAGTTCTCTGTTGTTGGTCTCTGAGGATAGTGTGAGTTCTCTGTTGTTGGTCTCTGAGGACAGTGTGAGTTCTCTGTTGTTGGTCTCTGAGGACAGTGTGAGTCATGTCTTGTTGGTCTCTGAGGATAGTGTGAGTCCTCTGTTGTTGGTCTCTGAGGACAGTGTGAGTCCTCTGTTGTTGGTCTCTGAGGACAGTGTGAGTCCTCTGTTGTTGGTCTCTGAGGACAGTGTGAGTCCCATCTTGTTGGTCTCTGAGGACAGTGTGAGTCCCGTCTTGTTGGTCTCTGAGGACAGTGTGAATCCCGTCTTGTTGGTCTCTGAGGACAGCGTGAGTCCTGTCTTGTTGGTCTCTGAGGACAGTGTGAGTACTGTCTTGTTGGTCTCCGAGGACAGCGTGAGTCCTCTGTTGTTGGTCTATGAGGACAGAGTGAGTCCTCCGTTGTTGGTCTCTGAGGACAGTGTGAGTCCTGTCTTGTTGGTCTCTGAGGACAGTGTGAGTCCTGTCTTGTTGGTCTCCGAGGACAGCGTGAGTCCTCTGTTGTTGGTCTATGAGGACAGAGTGAGTCCTCCGTTGTTGGTCTCTGAGGACAGTGTGAGTCCCGTCTTGCTGGTCTCTGAGGACAGCGTGAGTTCTCTGTTGTTGGTCTCTGATACCTGCTGTATCTTATACTTAAAGCGTTTTCTTATATCTATTGTTGCTATAATATCTAAAATAGATGTATTCCCTTAGCTATAGTGTTTCCTATACTATTCTTTGGATAACTAAAACAAACAGCACATCGAACCCACCCCCCCCCCCTTCCTTTTTTTTCCCCTTCCTTTTTTCTGTTGTCCTTTCTTGTTGTTGATTGTAGCCTCAAAGATTCACAGCAGCAGCCCAGTAGTCACTATTCCGATGGGAATCCAGTTACATAAAATTCTAGAAGACACTTTCAGTCATCAACACAATTAAACTGCAATACCGAATGGTTGGGAAATAACTGAAACGCAGTGTTGGTCAATGTCAGACAGTAATGCACATCAGAAACTTTTTTATCCAAGTATTATCCAGATATTCAACCCATACGTGTTTTCATTTTGTCAGAATTTCAAATTGGTATTTCAAAGTTAGGCGTAATACATAATGCTGCATAATCAAAGACACTTAGTTTCCATTTGTGGTATCTTCTCATGCATTTCTTTAACGTCTTTTTTTTCCGATTGTTCTATTTTATAACAGTGGAGGGTTTAGAGCAGCAATTGATGCAGTATGACCAAGCAGCTGGCCAGAAGGAGAACTGCCTTCCCAAACAACAGCTGGGTCGAACCACAAATGACAAACTTGAGTTTGTCATAATCTTCAGCCGAACACTGCCCACCCTCGACAATGAACCCCCGGTTGTCCAGGAAATTGGCGCAAGTTTTCTCCAAAGGATCATTAACGGACTTGCCGACTTCTTCCAGCATAAAACTTTGACAATGCTCCTGGATTTCCTCTGCAATGACTTTCTGAATGCGATCCCGTTGTTCTCTTTCGTTAGCTAAAGGGTCAGGAGTGGTTGTAGTACAAGCGCTAGCTGTGCTATCTATGGAGCAGTTAACTTCTGAAACACACACAACCTTCTCCAGGTCTATGTAGTCTTGGTCAGTACAGACGAGATCGGTCAGAAGAGCCGGCTTAGTTGCTTCCAGGGCTGGGCAAGCTTCAGTCGCGGGCTTTGACAGTTCCGACAGAGCCACCATTATTGTTTTTGAACACTGGGTTGTGGTCTTCCTAATAGCCAGCTCGACTTGGCCCCTCCGTGTGCTAATATCTATGTCTAAGACGCACACTTCTCCTACACAGCACGCAAACTTCTCCAAAGAGGCAAGTTCTGAAGACGTACATAACTGCTTGGAAATAAAACCCTCCTTCGCATTTGTCAGTTTGACACAGTATTCAGAAGGATCCTCACTTTTTACGTCTTTCAAAACAGCTTTGCTGCAAGACGCACTCAGATTGTGTTCAATTTCTGTGATTTTATCCACCTGCATATTGTGATAGTTGATGCAAGTGTTTTTCCCATTCCATGTGCAAATTACAACATGGAGCTTATCATAATCTTCTTGTGTGCATCCCACAGAAGCGACGAGATTTTTGAACGATTCCAGTTTTGCACAGCCTTTGCTTAGGTCATCATTATCTGACGTTTGTCCCCTAACTGAATCTTCACATCTTTTGGAAGATAACTGGTTGTATATTATACACTTGATCTCTGCTCTGTGTCTGTCATCCAAGCTCAGTTTCAAGCCACTCGTTGTGCCCAGCGGTACCTGAGTTTTTGTGACCAGCGGTTCCTGACTTGTGCCCAGCGGTTCCTGACTTGCGCCCAACGGCTCCTGACTTGCGCCCAACGGTTCCCGGCTTGTGCCCAACGGCTCCTGACTAGTTGTCTGCGCATTGTCTGAAGATGATGCCAAAATAAAAGTGATGCATGCACAACACGCGGCAACCAGCATACAACATTCGTTGGTGGTCCTCATTTCATCCACGCTGGTTCCTTCCAATGACAGGAAATGTCTGGCTGTTAACAAATATCTGTAAAAAGAAATTATAGACACATTAGCATGACTCTTTATAGAGAAATGTTGGGAAGATTTTTTTTTTTTTTGGGGGGGGGGGGGGGGGGGGGGAGGGGAATCCAGAAACCATGAGTCGTAAACTCTTTGGCTCGGTACTATAGATATCGCAACCCTTCAGTCTTGATTCCATTCTAGAAAAAATATGGCTTGTATGCCTACCCCTGGGCGTTAACTCGGACTACAAGGAGTTTGTTGCTGCGCAGCTGGTTTAACCAACTTAGATAGCGCGATCGAGATATCGCATTCATGTGTGTTTTTGTGTGTGTATATATGTGTGTGTATTAGACTATGTATGTGTGTGTGTTGGTGTGTGTGTGTGCGTCTGTGTGTATGACTGTTTATGAGTCTCCGGTTAATAAATGTTAAAAGTAGACAAACAAGAGAAGTTGTTTGCTTTGATTCTGTTTTAAAGGGTTGTCAATAATCTTTAATTTTTATCTTCTCCCATGTCTCTTTCTGTCACAACATGTTCCTGTTTTGTTTTCCACCATTTCCGTAATGTGGCCAACAAGTGGCCAACAATTATGACTGACTTTTTTCTTAATGCCTGGTATAAGCTGATCAGATGACAAGAGAGGCACTGGAGAACATCGCTGAGACTGGAAAAGTCAAAGTAGAAGAGGTAGAGGCAGACCAAGATGAGTGATGCTTGACAGTCTGAAGCCATATCATGGGCGTATATCGTCAGTGGAATTGTAATTTTTTTTTTTTTAGCAACCAAGAACCGGGAACAGGGAAGAGACAAGACGCATGATGATAATCATGAAACGTTTCCTTTGATCTGATCTCTGTAGGTAAACTGCTCTTTCAGGCTGTCGAAAATATCTCAATAGATTATTTATTCATTTTTTAAGTTGAATTTCCTCTTCAGGACATCGCAGACCAACTCTGTTTTAGTTGGAGTTTTGTTTTTATTGGGCAGTTTAGTAGTTTGTCGCGTATTCAAATCGATAACAAAGCATTGAAAAATGTCACATTTTGAATATTATGGCTCGGTTGTGAACAGTACTAGCAAGGAGATAAAAATTAGAATTGTGAGAGCATGCATCTTCCCTGTGGCTACATACGGATGTGAGTCGTTGACTATCTCCCAGTCTTTAAGAAAGAGAATAGGGGCTTTTGAGCTGAAATGCTATAGAAAGATTCTCAGAATATCTTGGACAAAGAAGAGAAAAAATATTGACATCTTAAAAGATCCGAACATCAAGAAAGATTGACTAATAAACAGCATCCTGTCTCGGAAGCTGAAATATTTTGGTCATATCAAGCGCCACGACGGATTGGACAATTTTATAGCAGAAGGCATGGTACCAGGAAGGAGGGGCAGGGGCCGACCGACACGAAGATGGGCACAGGATATAGGTGACTACTCAAGTATGAAAGTTCATGAGGCGGGAGAACTGGCGAGAGACCGAGTTTCTTTCAGGCAGACTGTGATGAGAGCGACGTTCTGCAAAGGCCCTGCTACATGATGATGGTGAACAACAATGGCGACTGCACAAAAGAACTGAGAAAAAGACTCGCTTTTACAATGCGTCGGTGTCTTCGCTGAGGCGTTCTGAATACAATTCGTAGTGTTGGAGTGCCTGGTTCGATCCCAGCTGCAGGCGATTTGGCAGCAGATCGTCTTGCGTTGGATTAGACCAGCGACTGTCAACCAATGGGTCGCGACCCTTCTGTGGGTCGAACGACCCTTTCACAGGGGTCGCCAAAGACCAAGGGAAATTCACCGAAATTATGAAGTAGCAACGAAAATAACTGTATGATTGGGGGTGGGGGGAGTCGCCACAACATGAAGAACTGAAATACAGGGTCGCGGAGTTAGGAAAGTTAAGAACCACTGGTTTAGACAGTGGTACTGATGGTCGACGGCTCAGAAGCATTGCAAACAACGGAACATAAATTTTTATAAACTAATCACACAGTCAAAAAATCCTAGTGGTTAAGTTTTGAAACGTCATGTAAAAGTTGAACAATTCAATGGAGAAGCTAAACAGCATAAAGAATCAGTTGCGCGTCGCCTGTTTAAGTAAAAAAAAAAAATTGAGATTTCCAGTGGTTAATTATTAATGCCAGTCATAGACTCTTACTAGATTTTTGAAAACAAATCAGAGCTTTTCAATTAAAATGCTAGAGAATCATTCTTAGAATACCATGGACCGACAAGAAGAAAGACATCCTACATCCTACATGATATTAACATCGAGAAAAATTGGCTCATAAACAGGATCCTGTCAGAAATCTGTGGTATTGTGGTCATGGTGGTCTGGAGTGATAGATGATGGGAGATGCAGTTTCCAGAAAACGAGGCAGGGGCCGACCTCCGCGAAGGTGGATACAAGACACTGAAGATGTACTGGCTATGTAGGAACATAGGGGTGGAGAAGGGGCTAGAGAGAGATAAGACTTTCGGGCGTGCGGTGAAGGCCTTAAGAATGGGCTAGAGAAAGATAAGAATTTCATGCGTGCCGTGAAGAGGACGACGTTGTGAAAAGAACCTACTGACTGATGGTGATAAGTGTGTGATTTCTCTCTGAGCACATTCATATCTCTGTCAGAATCAAAACAAGTAACCCAACTTGCACAATACCGTCATGGGTCCTTCATGAACATCCCAACGAATGACTCCCCTGTACCCCTAATCAACGGTACACAGTTGAAATGACAGTCTGTACGTCGAAGATGAGATTACATTCTCAAATCTACAGTAAGACTTTACCAGAAAGGTTGGGTGGGTGATTAGGGCCCTGAACCCTCACGCAGGAAATCCGAGCTCGATCCTTTGACTGGGCCATCGTTGACACAAACAACGGGATAAGCTGTAATTACAACAGCAAACATCACAGGAAACGATTATTCGACACAACACCCAAGTGTTGAATCTTTGTTGAGAAAATCAGCTTTGACCATTGAGAACAGATAATAATAATAATAATAATAATAATAATAATAATAATAATAATAATAATAATAATAATAAAAATAATAATAATAATAATAATAATAATAATAATAATAATAATAATAATAATAATAATAATAATAATAATAATAATAATAATAATAATAATAATAATAGACTACTCAATCAAAAAAGCATATAATAAAACCCTTGAAATCGTAGGCACGTTATACAATAAATCCATGTTATTTAGAGGTAATGAAAAGAATTCTCGTGTGCTATACTCCTGGACGATTGATAAACGAGTCAGGCAATTTATTGAGGCCTCGGAGATGGGGTTTTACAGAATAATTCTTAGAATTCATTGGACAGTCAAAAACAGCATTTGGAAAAAAGCGACTGCTCGAAGATAACTTATCACAACCAACAGAAAGAGCCAGTCGTCATTTTTTTTTATCGTATTATGAGAAGGACACTGGAACATGTTGTGACCACCGACAAGATTTGTGGGAGATCATACCCAGGAAGACACCTGGAAACGATTCGTGACAGCGTTTTATCGTGGCATGGAATATTGTCAACACATGAACTAACACAAGCAGTTGCAGACAGCAGAATGTGGAGAAGCATGGTTTCCCACGCCAGTCGGCAAGGCACTTGATCATGGGGATAATGGCTGGATAAACAAAAACGTAAACACAATCAAAACAAAAAGACCGTGTAAAAAAGGATTTTTTTTTTTGGGGGGGGGGGGGGGGCGACTTAGATGCTAATACATTTAGCGAGGTGTGGGTGAAAAAAAACGGGGAAGGGTGGCACACGCTACTTTAGCTTTAAGGCTCTCATAACCCTGCTTCGTCACTGTTTGCTCGACAATTCAGTCAATGCTTTCATTACATTTGACAACACATGTTAAACTGGAAACCAGATCTAGGCCCGATACTGCAGCATGTAGCAGTATACAAACAACAGTTGTTGCACTTATGTGTGGCACTTGCACACTGTCTGTCTGCGCTGGTGGTTATCTGCCAAGGTCGGGTGGATACGTTGGCGGGAATATAGGTTAGGGGTGTGACTTGTGACTTGCGATAATATTAAAACGTCTATATCCAGTTTCGTCCTTTTTAGGACTAAATTTTTTGTTATTTGAAGCCCCACCTTGGCGTTTGCCAGGGGCCGCAATATAGGCAGGCCATAAATATGGCCAATTGTCTGAACGCGGTTTCTGGGACCTCTCCACGGTGATCCTCATCCACATGGTGGCACTTCGTGTCATCGCGTGTTTATCGCTTGTGTGATGTCCTAGTGGGGTAGAAAGTCAGTCAGTCAGACTTGTGACTTGTGCGACGGCTAGTCTTTTAACCTACAAATTGTTTCTAGTCATTTGTGAAGAGAAGATGGAGGACTAGGGGAGCAGAATAAGTAGAAGAACAGGACAGGGAGTGGGGGAGGAAGAAAAAAAAAGGAAGGAAAAAGTAGTACCCTGGTAAAGAGAGAAGGAAGAAACTAAAGATAATGAGGAGCAGGGGGAGCAGGAGGAGAAAGAAGAAGAAGAACAACAACAGCAACAACAACAACAACAAGATAAAACATTTTTTTAGCAATGCGTCTGCATCCGTGGCTAAGGCGGTGCAAACGCAATTCAAAATATTGGGGTCCCTGGTTCTATCCTAGATACAGGCAATTTGGCAGCAGACCGTCTTCTTTGGTGTTCGACATATAGTGCTAAACCCAACTTTTATAGACCAATGGGCAATGGGTGGATGATATAGTCAACATCACGCCGATCGAAAATAAACGACCATGTTCTTACAAATCGAACTCATACATTTTTTTTTTAAAATGTGCGGACCGCGCAGTGTGCCTGCCAGACAGGACCACAAACACCTGAGCGCTTTCTGCAGACCTGTCCACTCTACCTACAACTTCGAAAAAGACACATGGCCTCAACAGCAGAGTATGCAGAGTAAATTATGGGAAAACCATGAAGGGCCTGCTA